GTTACCTGGTCTCTTCAGAAGAAGGTGTATTTTGTGTCCAGATGAGTTTCAGCATCCCAGTTTTCTCTAAGCACTCTGTCCAGTTGGGTGAAAGGACACTTGGGGTTACCTTCAAATGTCTCCCAGTGCTGTAGAATGAAAGCGCCTGGATGTGAGAATGGAACCCAGGCTACTTCACAAATTCCCTGTGCAGCCTCTCTCATCCCAGTGTCTTCTGCAAAATGAAGTCAGATAGGATTGTGCTTGGCATTTCTTCTGGGTCTTCAAGTCTTTCTCTGGTTTCCTTCTCCAGTGACTTCTGCCTCCACTTCTCCAAAAGCTACTTAAACCCCATGGCAGGGTCTTGCACTTTTGAACCAAATGGCTTTTAGAGACATACAATGATTTTCTGAAAAGGCTTTCTTGAAGCAGCATTTATTGCTGAAAAGGTATCTAGTAACACCTTGTGACAAACGTTAGGTGACAGTGCACTTACCTTTAAGTACTTTGCCTCCTCTTCTGTCTTTTAATACCTTTAATTGGATCCTCTAGCAGGAGATTGGACTTAATTTATCTCAGGTGATGCCACAATTATACAATTGCTCAGTGGAATTAATTAGAGATTTAATTATTTTAGTGCCCTAAAGTGCTATATTAGGGAAATAAAACACAGACTAGTAATTCACCTTCAGGGTGTGTGTGTGTGTTATTTATCCCACAGCTGAAGTGTTTTTCCAGTCGTAAGGGCCGGTATTGGCATGCTCGCTCTTCTAGCCATGTCCTAATATGAAAAGTTCTGTCTCTGCATTAATTTGGGCTCTGCCCAGTCAAAATGTAGGTGAAGGCAAAAGTAGAAGGATTTTTTTTTTTAATTGTGGTCTTTTCTCTTGCAGCTATTAGAACCAAGATCATAGATCCAATCCCTCTATGTTCTATTTAACCCTTTCTGGTCCTGTAGCCCTATACCAGCCCCTCTTACAGGTGGTCCTGGGAGGTGGTGTTTCTCTCTGTGTCTCCAGCCCCTACAACATACCTAGGCTACATAGGTGACCAACAAATGCTTGTTGAATTGAATTAGATCATTGCAAAGACAATTAGTTGAAAGTGTAGCTGAAACAGTATAAACCCAACACAAATATTATTAAAATAAACTAACTCAAAATACATGTGAGGTACTCCCCAATCTGGCTAATCATCGGAATGACCTAAAAGACATTTTTTAAAGGCCTTACTGACTCCATCTCCAGGAATGGGGTCTAGGCATCTGCATTTTAAAATTCCCCAGGTGAATATTATGGTCACTCAAGTTTGACAACCCCAGCTTAATGTGTTTTTTGTCACATTTGTATACATAGGAAAAGACTGTCTTATCAGGATAGACCCATTGCTTATTCTAATTTACAGTATAAAATAAATCTCATGTATAGTCTACTAATTATATCTAAAGGATTTCCTTTGAGCCAATAGTTTGTGTACGTGGTGGAAGTGTTTACAGATGCTGTGAGGAACAGTACCTTCCATGAAGTATTAGATTACTGGTGAGTTGTTAAGTGGGCATTTTACACCTGGACTCAGGTCCCTTGGCACTTGAAGCCCTGAGATCCCACCTCTGTGGACAGAACAGATTCAGCTATTAACTGGAAGTAAAATCATCATTGGGTGAGAGAAATTCACTCTTTTAGGATTTGAGGAACTTTCAGTGATGTCCTCCTGGGTGCTGTCTTGTCCTAATCTGAATTATCCTTCATTTTAGGGTTACATATCATATAAGCCACCTTTGAATATTCATTTGAGCCTAGCTGAGTAATAGAGTACCAAACTAAATGAAATGATCAGAGAAATACAGAATGTATGACACAACCTGGTCCTTTCAAAATAGCAATGCCAAAAAAAACACAACGTTGTAGGGGGGAAAGATTAAAGTGTCATAGCAGACAAATGCATTGTGTAAACCAGGATTGATCATGGTTGGATTTATTTTTTTTAATATATTTTTATTGATTTCAGAGAGAAGAAAAGAGAGGGGGAGAGATAGAAACATCAATGATGAGAGAGTCATTGATCGGCTGCCTCCTGCACACCCCAACTGGGGATCGAGCCCGCAACCCGGGCATGTGCCCTGACCGGGAATCAAACCCCGATCGCCTGGATCTTAGGTTGACGCTCAACTGTAGAGCCACCCCCAGCCGGGCCATGGTTGGAATTTAAAAGGCTAAAAAAAAGACATTGTAGAGTCAATTGGGGAAATTTGCACCTGGACTAGATATTAGATAATATTAGAGAATTGTCGTGAACATTCCTAGCTGTGATAATGGTATTCTGGTTATGTCAGGGATGTTCTGAGGAGATACACGTCAAAATGGGCGAAGCCTCCTGCGTTCATGGTGTCTCCAAGGCAGGTCCCACCAACTGAGCCTGTTAATTTTGTGATCCCACACCCATGGAAGCTTTCAACTCAATGATGGGAGTCTTTATATTGCAAAATTCTGCAAATGCTACAAATAGAGCTTTGTCTTCCCCTGGAGAGCTAACTTACCAGCATGCCACTGCCCCCAATTTATTTTCAAATGGTTCAGAAAACATAAACATACACACACGTGTAGACACAATAAAAATGGCAAAATATTAACTATTGTTGAATCTAGGTAGAAGATATTCATTGTTTTAGTCTAGGAGCCAACAGACTTTTTCTATATTCAGAGTGTAAATATTTGAGGATTTGCAGGCTGTACAGTCTCTGTGGCAGCTCCTCAGCTCTGCGGCTCTGCCATCGTAGCACAGAAGCAGCCAGACAGTCCTTAAGTGAATGGTCCTGGTTACACTCCCACAAAACCTGATGAAAACGGAGCCAGTGGCTAAGGGCTGAGGAGGAAGAGTTAAGTCGTTGTGAACATCTGTAGTGTTTTAGCATTTAGCACTGTCAAGCACTCTGCTAGCTCATGTGGTCCTCCCAGCAGTCCTACGTGGGACTGGCATTACCTCCATTTAGAACGCAGGGCAGTTAAATGGCTTCCCTAAGATTACAAAGCGAGAATGGGAGTTTGAATCTGGCTGCCTGTGATGCCCAGCACCATTTTAGTGTCTTCGTGCATTCAGCGATTGGCAAGAGACCAGGGACCCCTAGGCTGCAAGAGTCCCCAAGTTCACCCCAATTTCACATGCAGGGGGAAGTATCCATGAAGTGCTGAGAGTCTGGTGGAGCACAGTATTAAGTGCTGTTGGACTGGGTGTTAGAAAAACCTGGCTTCTGGGCCCTGGCCAGGAAGCTCAGTTGGTTGGAGCATTGTCCTGATATGTCAAGGTTGTGGGTTCCATCTCCAGTCAGGGCACACACAAGAATCAACCCAAAAAAAGAACCAATGAATGCATAAATAGGTGGAACAACAAATTGATCTTTCTCTCTCTCTCCCTTCCCCCCCTTTCCTTTCTCTCTCTCTCTAAATCAATAAATTTTAAAAAAAGAAAAGAAAAACCTGGCTTCTCATCTCAGCTTTGCCACTGACCATCTATACTCTAGGGTGAGCCACTGAGCTTCTCCAGACCCCTGTGATCTCTTATGATTAGAGGAATAAAACAGGATATTTCTTTTATTCTTTTATATTTCGTGGATTATGCACTAGCTTAACATCTAATGAAGAGACAGATGGGTGAATGAAGAATTAAAAATACAACTCTGTGTAACTGCTGTACTGCAGTATGCAGAGGGCACTATAGCTGCTCCTGGAAGTGACACCCAGCCCCTCAGGGCTGTCATCCTAGCTGAGCGCATTCCGAATTTGGGAAGCTTGGTGGCAGAGAAGAAGACAGCCTCAGGGGAGACGAGAGCCGCAAGTAGTTTCCCTACATACATGATGAAAGGGGGAAGCAGATGGAAGACTTTCGGAGGTGATTACAAAAAATAACCCAGACGAGGGAGGATGAGAGCCTGAACCACTGCGGTGGCAATGGGCGTAAAGAGCAGAAGATAAAGTTGGGAGCTTTAAAGATAGAATGACCAGGGCTCAGTGACAGTATCAGTCAAGATGGCTGCAGACACCCTCACAATCCCAACACAGATGTGGTTCTTGCCCGTAAGACACGTCCCGTCAGGTTGGAGAGGCACCGTGGTGGCTCACAGTGGCCCCCTGGGATCCAGGCTGAGGAGCCCCTCCAGTGTGGCTGGGGTATGTGCCAGAGGGAAGGCTCTGGAGGGACTCACACGAACAATTAGCAGCCCAAAGTGGCATGCATCCTTCACATGGACTTAAACTTGTCACTTGGCCCCACCCAGTCTCGGGGGCTAGAAAGCGCAGTCCCGGGTAAACATAGCTGGTGCTGCCGTGGCGCCTGAGTGGATGTGAGGGATGAAGGACTCTCGGGTCCCTGATCAGGGACTTAGGCAGGCATGTGAGGCAGTCACTGAGAGAGAGAAGACAGAATCAGGGCGAGGGGAAGGCTGAATCTTTTTCAGCCCTAAAGTTTAACCATTTTATTGGAAATCAGCTCCATTCATTGGCGAGAGGTTACTTTATTCTTTACAAAGGCCGTTTTCAATTCAATCTTCCCAAAGAAAGTCTTTCCGTTTTAAAAATGTAGTGTTCACTTTTTTAATGTAGTGTCTATCTTTGAATTTTCATAAGGATATCATGTCAACATACAGTGTAGGAAAATTAGTTATTAACTAGGATGTTACTGCAGCCTTCCTCACATAAGAATATCGGGCTGCTGAATTCAGAATGCCAGAGGCGCAAACCGCCCCCCCCCCAGTAGGGCACATTTCAAGATACGGGGGTGGGGAGTGGGGGGCATGTCATCAGGCTGATTGAGCCTGTTGTGCTCCTCTGGAGCGCAGACACTGCACAGCCTTAGGGAGCATTAGTGCCTCAAGATCTTGGGGAAACGATGTCGTCTTTACCTCAAAAGAGTGTGGCAGAAACAAGGAATCTATACTGGTTGTCCCCTTCTTTGTTTTTCCCCTCCCCTCCCAGTTTAATTGTGCTACCTTAAAAACTGACTTTTATTGTGCATTTGTTTTTTAACAGTTGCGAGCAACAATCAAAGCTGGCAAAGGTGTGACTTCAGCTATTGACCTGTGTCGTTACCATGGAAACAAGGCCCTGGAAGCCCTGGAGAGCTTTCCTCCCTCAGAGGCCAGATCTGCTTTAGAAAACATTGTGTTTGCTGTGACCAGATTTTCATGACACCAAATTAAAAAGACACTGTTGTTCGTTAGCTGAAGAAAAACGAGGAATGAGGTGATCCGGGAGCTTTCATAATGAAATATCTCAATTTGCTAATGACTTTAAAAACATACACTTTTCTTTCCTTTTATCCCATTGCTTAATGAATACCGCCTTCTTTTTGGAACTGCTACAAACAAAATTAGAAGAAAAAAGGTCAAGCAGTTTTCACTTGTCACGCCAGAAGCGCACTTGAGGCTGCAGTAGCAGAAATAATTAATGAGATTTGCTCCTGTGACCTCAGCAAATGGACAGGAAATAAGTCCTTATTGATTGGACTGAGCCAGGGATGGCGCCAGGGCGGTGGCCTGTGGTTTTCCTTCTAGAGAGGACGGAGTGAGCTGGAAGCTGCAGGTGTCAAAAGAAACACTGACAAGGCCGGCCAGGGAGGACTGTCAGTCAAAGACGTGACCTGTTTGTCATAACAGACGCAGTCCAGTGATTACGAAAAAGCTATGCTTTGTCTTCTGGCCGTTCTTTCTCTGTATTTATAGATACAGTATGAATATACTTTACGCTTTGTGAATTTTGTGAGATTTGCAGGGGGATTGCTGGGGTAAAATGCCAAATAGTTGAATTAAGAGATTAAAATGTTATCAAATGTTAACTTGGTTGTAGTAGGAAATGCCTGTTTTTCTTTCCTAAAGACCTATTTTTTTTTTAAACACATTTCAAAGAATGAAAAATTTTTTAAAAGCTGAACAAGATACTTTTTTCAAGTGAAATGCATTTATTTGTAATACTCTGGAGTAAAGAATACCTTTGATTTTTATAAGTTATATATATATATATATATAAATAAAATAGTTGCCCTACGGAATTCATTGGCAATACTTTTTTTAAACCTCAGAATGTGAATTTTTGGTCTGAACCACAGACATCAGTTTCAGAAGGAATAGAAGCCAGCTCACAGGCCTGCAACCGGACACTGTCTCCGTGCGGCTCAGAGGAGATATTTGTGTGGTTTGCGTGCATGCAATATGAGAACACCGTTGACAAGGAGGCTGAGTTTACATAAATGATCTAGATTGAGACTCAGCTACCTTTCTTCCTTATGTGGTGTAATTACAGCCCTATCTGGAGACGGCAGACACAGCAAACAGATTTTATTACCTTGTTCACTCCAACACTAAGTGAAGTTATTTTAGTTAAATTCCGCCCCCCCCCCCAAAAAGTTACAAAACCATTTTGTCTGGGCTCAGCATTAGGCCTGCAATGAAGAGAAAATCTACAGCTACAGAGATTGATGCATTATATTATGAAATATTTTAAGTGTACTTGAAATATTATAATTGTACAGTTTATGCTACTACAATTTGAAGGCCTATAGGTCTAACTTAAGAGAACACTTTTCTGTTTGAAATGCCTTTTCTCACAGAAATGGGCTTAATTAATAACTATGGTTAGATGCTTTAGAGCAGACTAGGTTTTAATCATTAACTTCCACCAAGGAGTTGTGCTTGGCGCTGTGTGGGTGTGCAGGAAGTTAGGCAAGCTGCAGGTTTTATTGAGCAGATGGCCAGGTGCCACGGGACACAAGGAAAGATCCTAGGGCACATCTGGTTCTGGTATAGCCACTGGTTTGCTGTGTCACCTTAAGCAAATCACTTCCCTCTGATCCTCAATTTCCTTATCTGTAAAATAAGGTTAAATGACAGCGTATGAAGTCCCTTCCAGCTTTGTCTTATTTTCTAAAAGTTTGCCGTTTCTGACTGTCTAGATAACAAAGATGCTATGTGAGACTCAAGGACAAGGGAAGGTGAAGCCCAAAGAGGGGCCCTGAAGGAATGCAGGAAACTTAATGGCAGGCTTCTTGCTCAGCTGCCTCCCAGGTGACCTGAAGTATTCCCAGCTCACCTCTGCATGACATGTAATCCCAGGCTCCTGTTTCAACACCCACCTTTCTGCTTTCTCTGGGACCTTTCCTACCACCCTCACTGGTGAGTGACAGCGCTCTGCTCTGCCCATGGGGCACCTTGCCTGTCTTTTCAGGTCTTACTTAGCGGAGTTCTCACTTCCTCAGCATCTGGGCATGCTTTTGTTAAACGTAACACATTGGTGAATTCACTCTAAAGTATTAAATACTGATAGCCTTTCTCCAGGCCCCATCTTCAGGGATATTTATTTATTAACTCATATTAAGTTCTTATAATTTCACACAACCTCTAGGGAGAAATATGGGGAACCAAGACATGCTTAATTACACTTTTGTGGCCAAGGAATGGTAGAATTAGTGGCCATAGCATGTCCCATCCTTCACCCCTCTCTGTCAGTGCCCCCACCTCCAGTTTCTTGCTAGAGGGAAGAATTCAGTCAGTAACCATGATCATGCCTCCTTCCATTGGTCCCCCAAAACTTGCCAGTTATCTCCTTCAAACCTCACTCCAGGTCCCTGAACTCACCTGCACTCTGCTCCCTGTCAGAGAGTATAATAAAGATTGCATTAGTGAGGGCTCTGTGTTAAGGGCCTTAACTATTCCATCTTGTTTGAATCCCATCACCACTCGGGGGGTAAATATTAGCCCCATTCACAGAGAGGATCACCTCCTTTCCAAAAAGCTCAAGCCTGTAGCCTCCTGTCTCCTTCACGTCCCTTTTCTTGAGTCTTCAGTGTCTCCTCTAGGGGCTGTGAGTATGCTCAGGTCGCCCTGTCCCTGAAATAAAAGTCCTCCCTATGCCCAGACTATCCACCTCCGCTTTTTCCCTCCCAGCTTCACCAGCACTCCCTTGCAATTGGCCATTCACTCCCAGGTCCCCACCATCTCGACCAGTGGCAACGCTTTAAAAGGCACTCAAAGAACACTTGTGGAACAAATCAGGTGTCTCACTGCAGAACTCCAGGAGAGGCAGTTCCCAGAGCACGGCCTTGCTGAGAAATCCCCAGCCATTCCCGGGCAGGCCGCCTCCCCAGTGGTTCATGTTGCTGACTGAGACTTCCCCCTTGCGCCTGCACCCCCACACACACACCCCCTTCCTTTGTGCCTGATACATCTTTCTCAATCCCACCCCTAGAGGCGTTCTTTTCTAAACATGTAAATTCTATTTCCCAGTTTTCTTTCCCACTAAGTCCTCTTTTTAAAAATTCCCCAACTTAGAAAAAAACTTTTCTGGCATAAAAAAAAATCAATTAGATATTGATTAGATAGTGAGCTATTTGCCATTCAGGATTAATGACTTTGAAAGAGGGTGAGGGTTACGCTTCTCATTAAACTTGGTTGTAAGTTTTACTTGATGACAGCACTAAATCCGCTTCAAGTTTTCTTGCTCATATAATGTGGTTTATCTAGTCACACGTAAAAATAAATTACCAGCGACTTGTTTGCCTGGTCCAGGTCCCATTCTCCAGTGTCTGACACTTTATCTTCTCTCCGACAATGTTACTGCTATGGCTCAGGATGTGGGTGACACCTACACACTTAGGGCAGAAGACATATACAACTCATTGAACTCAGGTGACCAGAAAGAAATCAGAATAGCCATGATTGTGTGATCACCTTTCAAAACCTGACAGGTTGCTACAACATAGATCTCTTTGGGTAAGTGGGTTTGGGGAAATTGTGTTTAATCAGCAAAATGGCAGCTGAAGGATACCCTTTTTTTAAAGGCTCTAGTTAATCAGCTGGTCCATCACTGACACGGAAAACCTTGCTTTTCAGAAAACCCTTTTCAGTTCAGTCTCCTTCCAGTTCTTAGTGTCAAGAAGATCCTTTTCTGCCTCTTCATGTGTCTTCCCACTAAAATCCTATGGTTAAGATCACCTTTCTGGCCAATGGAAGCTCTAGGATTTATCTTTAGACTCTGTAATGACTGCCTCTCAGCCTAGAGAGGGCACCCAAAGCACAAAAGGGCAGAGATGGATTGGCTTGGTTTTCTAATCTATGTAACTGTGAGGACAAGGTTGTCATCCCATTATTATTAAGTTTCCATTATTGTTAATTATATTTTAGTGATAATCAAGTTATTTGCACTTTCTTTAAAACACAAAGCAATCTAACAAGATAATTATTTACCTCTTTCCTTTTTCCTACCTTCAGTACTAATCCCTTCTCAAATTAACTTTTCTTCTTTCAGAATGGGTCCTGCCTTTCCATTAAGGAGATAACATACTTCTAAAGGTGATTGAAAAAGAGGTGTCACCTGGGGAGAGGGGTCAAGATAGTGGGGTCCATCCACCCTTTAGGTCACCCCGCCTGTCCGTGGAGTCTGATATGCTAGGTGTTAGCCCTCTGTTAGTGAAGGAGTGTTCTTTCTAGGTATGTATTTCTTTCTCTTCCATAGAAAGAGAAAGTTTCTCAGGCTTTCATTCTCTTTTTATTATTTGGGAGATGCTGATGCCATCTTCATGGAAGAACATTAGCTTTCTCTCAACTCGATCTGCTCACTTCTAAGACTAATAGTGTACCCATCACTGTTTGTCCTGTGAGCAAATGAGTGGACTCGACACTGCAAAATCTGTTGAAATTGCTTAAATTTCACCTTTTAAACACATTTAAGTCAATAACTGTGGTAGGCAGTTAGACGCACATGAGCAGAGCAAGGACAATGGTCCAGGTAGAGAAGGTCACCAGGGTGGAAAGCTCTGGGTGCCTAGCAAAGAACAGTTATAGGGTGAGACCTTGCCCCGAGGGTGACCTTTCCTCCTCTAGCATATCGCTGGTCATGTGGTGAACCCCCTGACCTTTCCTCCCTAGAGATAACATCTAGGCCTCAGTTGTGTTTCAGCTCCAGGCCCAGAAAAGCAGTAAAACCAGACAAGCAACCCCATGGCTGACCTCACAACCAGCTGCATTGGATAATGACCCCCTGCCCTGGCACAGACCTCTCAGTCACTGCAGATCTAGGCACTGAAAGGACACACCTGGAAAGCTGCTGAATATTCTATTGAGATCTTCTCCTGGGACCTCCCATAAAATCTTCACCCTTAAAACCCTTAGGACAGAGGACCCAGTGAACTCTCCCTCCGGGGAGTATGCTGTGCCTCTCCCTTCCTCCTCCCCCTCCCCATTACCCTCCTCGGTCCCAAGCTCCTAGGGCCCTTCCTTCCTTTGCCTCTGTAACTTGTTTCCTAAGCCCATTTCTTCTACAAATTACTTCTTCTACCTCTGTGATTTTCCAAATAAATGTTCTCTTACAGTTTGTGTCTCGACTCTGATTTCATTCCTAGCCAGAACTCCTACAACATAACCACTTTAAAGAAATTTTGGAAAGTAGAAAAAAATCAATCACAATCTCACCATGCTAACATCACCATTTCTTTTGTAATTCTTCTAGCCTTTTCTGCCATGCATATCGTTTTTTACCTGGTTATAATTACAGTATAGATTCAACTTTGTGTCCTGCTGTTTTCACGTAACACATCGTAAACATTTTTCCGTGGTGCTATGGTCTTCATAACCATTATTAATACGTAGCTTAAATTCTAAGCAAGCATCTGAATTTTTGTTCCTGGTTGGTTTCTCTTTTGTAAATGGGTCTTTGGTAAATACTTCGTAAGTCAACTTCCCAACCTGCTATGAAGCAAGTCTTTGACTTGGAAAAATAGTGTCCCTGCAGGTTCTCCACAGCAGCAGATTAAAACTGGGGAACAATTCCCTTAAAATTTTTCAACCTCAATGATTCATCTGCTCAGCTGGTGGTCCTCATTCCTGCAAGATGAGCTCAGGATGGAACTCACACCGTACGCTTTGCTTCCCTGTAAGTTCTCAACCAGCCACACTTCAAGTTGATGACTTCTTTCTTGCCACTGAAGTTCACAGTCTCCTAGGACAGGAAAGGGGCTTTCGTCAGCTGTCATATCTTCTGCATTTGGCCAAGACCACGGGACACTCTCTTGAAAGAGAAGAGAAGCCATCTTTGCTTCTTCAAAGACTGGGAGAAGGAAAACAAAATGATACTTATCTGATTAAAATCTTTCATGCTATAACAGATGAGCTTTATTGTGTTTTGTCATTGTCTTGATTCATTTGGGTCTTTTTTAAAAACTTTCAAATGAACTAGAAAGCAACATCAAGCTCAAAGAATGAAGCTACACTTGCAAGTCTTTCCTGCCTTAAATTAATTATTGTAACTCCACTATTTGCATTACTTCTCGCTTTCCAGGCATTTTAACGATGTCCCCCGGCCTGCTCTCTCGGTGTGTTATGAACTGCACAGTAACTTAAACCTACGTGTTTATCTGGAATAGGAACAATTTCTTTTGAGCTTCCTAACTGCTGCCTAGCTACGCAGTTCTATATCTTGCCTCTCTTTTATCTTTCTTTCCTTTTTTTGAAGATTAGAAGCGCTTAAATTGAATTGCCTTCTTTTTTAAAAGCAGCTTTTACAGAAGGATAATTTACATACCATAAAATTCATGTAGTTTAAGTGTAAAGTTCAATGATTTTTAGTACATTTATGAAGCTATGGCAGGCATCACCACAATTCAGTTGTAAACATCCCTTGTGCCCATTTGATTCAACGTCTCTTCCCACCCTCAGCCCTAGGCAGCTGCGAATCCACTCTCGGCCTCTATCGATAGAATTTTACAATATTTAGTCTCTTGTGTCTGGTTTCTATCACTCTGCATAATGTTTTTGAAGTTTATCCATGTTGTAGCATTAAGCATTATTTCATCCCTTTTCATTGCTAACTAATATTCCATTGTAGGGATATAGTACATTTGTTTATCCATTTACCAGTTGATGGGTATTTGGGTGGTTTCTACTTTTTACCTGTTATGAAAAATGCTGCTATTGATTATTCAAGTACAAGTCTTTGTGTGGACGTGTTTTCATTTACCTTGAGATCTCTAGGAGTAAAATTGCTTAGTCATATGGTAAATTTATGGTTAACTTTTAAATAGAAATTGCCAAACTATTTTCCAAAGTCTCTGTATCACTTTACATTTCCACCAGCAACACATGTGCATTCCAGTTTCTTCACATCCTTGCCAACCCTTTGTATTCCCTTTTTATTATAGCTGTTCTAGTAGGAATGAGATAGTATCTCATTGTGATTTTTATTTGCACTTCCCTGCTACTAGTGATGTTAAACATCTTTTCATGGGCATAATAACCATTTAGATATCTTCTTTGGTAAAATGTCTGTCGAAATCTTTTGCCTATTTCTTAATTGGGTTGTTTTGTTATCAGACAAGCCTGGAGAGGGCCTGCCAGTAGTGTGTGGGTTGTTTTTTGTTTTAATATGTTTTTATTGATTTCAGAGAGAGGAAGGGAGAGGGAGAGAGAGAGAAACATCAATGATGAGAGAGTCATTGATCGGCTGCCTCCTGCACGCCCCCTACTGGGGATCAAGCACGAAACCCAGGCATGTGCCCTGACTGGGAATCAAACCAAGACCTCCCCGTTCATGGGTTGATGCTCAACCACTGAGGCACGCTGGCTGGGCAGGGTGTGGGCTCTTGACTTCACGCAGGCAAGATTTTACAATACGTGTCAGGTGATTTTGAGATTACATTTATTAAAGCCAGGGACAGTGAAACAAGGAAGGGCTGAGGTTAGAAGCCCTTCTCTAGAAACATTACGGGAAAGAAGTGAGCCAATGTGGGGCTGTTGTCAGCTCACTGGAGAGTCAGAGAAAAGAAAGCCTTGGTGACAGGCTCAGGGAGCTAGTCGGGGACAAGCTCCAGCTGCCCATTGCTCCCCTGGTTGCAGCCCTCCTAGGATCCCTTAGAGTTTAGGAGGTGCATGCCTGTGGGGGAAGAGGAGGAAGATGGGAAAGGCACCGGTGTGCTCCTGGGAGGAAGAGCACGTGCTGGAACCTTCGTTTTGAGGGGTTTTAAAGGCTGGGCTTGGCCTGGCCGGGCGTGGCTCAGGGGTTGAGCATCGACTTAGGATCCAGGCGATCGGGGTTCAATTCCCGGTCAGGGCACATGCCCGGGTTGCGGGCTCGATCAATGACTCTCTCGTCATTGATGTTTCTATCTCTCTCTCTCTCCCTCTCCTTTCCTCTCTCTGAAATCAATAAAGATATATTTAAAAAAAAAAAAAAAAGGCTGGACGTGTAGGCGAGGATCTCAATAGAATATTCATCAGCTTTATGCTGATGTACCAAAATAAGATTGATTCCCATAACTTCATCTGTCCTTGGCAAATGGCAGTAATTGGGTTTCTGTTATCTGCCTTCCTAAGTAGAGTGGTTTAAGCTATTTACCTGGTTGGGGAGAAGTGTAAACCTTTGCTTAGGGAAGATAGGATTGGGGAATTTACTAGATGGCTGTAAACTGATTGGCCATTTAACGATCTGCCTCCGTTTCTCATCCTAGTGGTCCTGGCTTACAAGCCTGTCTCAGTTTGTCTTATTATTGCATTGTTATCATTCTTTATGTGTTCTGGATACAAGTCCTTTATCATATATATGGTATGCAAACATTTGCTCCCAATCTATTACTTAACTTCATTTTCATAATGATGTTTTGAAATGTAAAAGTCTTTAATTTTGATGAGGTCTTATTTAATAATTTTTTTTTTCCTCATAGATCATGCTTTTTCGTGTCCTAAGGAACTTTTGCCTAACCCAAAGTCACAGAAATTTTTTCCAGTATTCTTTTCTAAAAATTTTATAGTTTTATCTCTGATATTTAGATCTGTAATCTATTTTAAAGTTACTTTTTGTATATGGTGTGAGATAAAGGTTTAAATCAGGGTTTCTCATCTCAGCCCTATTGACACTTTGGGCTGGATCGTGCTGTTGGGGGCCCTCCTTGTGCGTCCTCGGATGTTTAGCAGCATATCTAGCCTCAGCCCACTCAATGCCAGTAGCACTCCTGCGCTGTTTCAACAACCAGACTTGTCTCCAGACATTGCCAATGTTCCCTGGGAGGCCAAAATCACTGCGATTGAAAACCACTGAACTAAATTAATATTTTTTATATGTGACTATCCAATTGTTCTAGAACCATTTGTTGAAAAGACTATTCTTCCCCCCTTTGAATTGCCTTGGCAACCCTGTAGAAAATCAGTTGACCGTAAATATAAAGATTTGTTTCTGGACTCTCAATTCTGTTCTGTCAGTTTCTATGACTGTCTGTATGCCAGCACCATACCGTCTTGATTAGTGTAGCTTTATATTAAGTTTTAAATTCAGAAAGTGTAAGTTCTCCAACTTAATTTTTTTTTTATCCTCACTCGAGGATATTTGTTCCATTGCTTTGCAGAGAGAGTGGAAGGGAGGGGGAGAGGGAGAGAGGGGGAGAGGGAGAGAGAGGGAAATACCATTGTGGGAGAGATACATTGATTGATTGCCTCCTGCACGTGCCCCAACCCAGGTCCGGGATCAAGCCCTTGCCTGGAATCGAACCTGGGACCCTTCAGTCCGAAGGCCAACACTCTAACCACTGAGCCAAACCGGCTAGGGCTTAATTTTTTTTTTTTAATTAAACTTTTAATTTTGAGATCATTATAGATTCACAAGTAGTTGTAAGAAATAATACAGAGAGAGCCCTGCCTGGGTAGCTCAGTTGGTTAGAGCGTTATCCCGATATGTCAAGGTTCAGGACTCAATCCCGGTCAGGGCACATACAAGAATCAACCAATCAATGAATACATAAATAAGTGGAACAACAAATCGATGTTTCTCTCTCTCTCTCTACCTCTATCTCCCCATCTCCCTTCCTCTCAAATCAATAAATAAAAATTTTAAAATAATACATAAATAAAAATAAATAATACAGAGA